CAGCTATTGGGTTTGGTTGGAGCTTCGGTTCAGAAAGGTTTGTATTGCTATGAGCTGGATGGAAGCATTGGTGTCCTAGTCAAAACTCCCTGGGTTATTTTGTGTTGAAACAGATATACATCCCGCAGGCATTTCATCCCTATTTGTCACTTCTGCATGACCCATCGTCCATCAGTTTTTCCATGATAATTTGCAGAGGGACAAGCATCTTACACCATGATTGTGTTGACTTGCGAGGAAATGGCATGGTGTTCCATCGAACAATTGCTGAGACTTGCAGGATGAATGAGCCAGTCCTAAATATATTTTCCACACAACCCTGCAAACTCTGCAGTGTGTACTTTCTGGTGTGTGTGCATGATAAGGTTGCTGCTCTAATCCAAAGCATGTTTGCATGTGGATGGAGTGGCAGAATGGAAGGCCAAACAGACCATCAGCATTAGGCCTCCTTCTCTTCATGCCTTTGCACTTATTTTGTTGGCAGTCAGTTTGCACCCTCTTGGGATCTCAGAGACTCCTTTGCACCCAGCTGAGTCACAGTTGAAAATGATGCTTCAGTATGCAGGTAGTCAAATAAACAGCAGTATTGCATTATTGTGTTCCCAGCTTCCATAAAATCAATTCCATTTGGGTAGAGTGTGTATCAGGGTAGTAAATGGGAAAGACTGCAGTGACTGGCTTGAAGCAAAGGCAAGCAAACAGGGTCATTTGCATTTGCTTCTGACCAACATGTTTGACCTCTAATTAAGGTTCTCAGGAAAGTCTGGAGCAGGCTTTGAGTAGGGTTGCCATAGACAATAGAATGGCTCATACTACTTTCAACCCCTACCTAGGATTTTTTACCTTTTAAGATGGGATCCAGCAAATATGAATTAATTAGGGAGCCCTGGTGGCATAGTGGTTAAATGCTGCACTGCACAATGTTGTGAGTTCAATCCCAGGCAAGGAAGGCTCCAAGGTCCACTCAGCCGTCCATCCTTTCGTAGGTTGGCAAAATTAGTAACCCAGCTTGTTGGGGCAATTGGTTTACAGATCGTAAACTGCTTAGAGAGTGCTGAGTTCACTGATAAGCAGTATAGAAATGTAAATGCTATTATTATTGCTATATATTGAATGCCTGCTTAGATAAAAATGTCTTGGCTTGCAGACGAAAAGCAAGCAGGAAAGGGGCCAGGCTGGCTTTCCATGGAAGGCCATTCCAGAGTTTGGGAGCAGCCACTCTCTTATGTCCTCCCCAAGTGAGCCTGTGATCTTGGTGGGACCAAGAGAAAGCTTCCTCCTGAAGATCTTAGGGTTCTGGCTGGTTCATATAGGGAGATACCGTATGCAGTCTTCAAGATCCCATCCATCTCTCCACCTCTCCCTTCTCCCTGATTCACTCACTGCTCTGGACCTCAACTTTGGCCTTAGCTTCTGAGGTTAGACAGATCCATCTCTGGAGGATGATGCTCTAACTTTCGATTTGCTACTCTGAGCAGAGTATTGGGACCAGAGAGCCTATGGGGTCATTGCTAATGGATTCCTCCTGACATCCTCCTCTGTTCATCTCTTCCGATTGACTGCTTGCAGACCCTACTTTCCCAATTCTTGATGGAGTCCTTGCAAATTAGGGATGTAAATGTTCAACTAAATGTAAATGGCCTCCAGAGTGAGGCTGAATGATTTATAGTTTTCTCCCTGCTGCGGAGAAAGTGAACACTTCTGCAGAAGTCTTGCCCTGTAGTATCCACACTTCTCAAAATGTTTCGGGAGATTATCCTTCACAGAAATATGTTGTTGTTTTTGCATGACAATTAAAGGTTTTTGCATGAAAAAAAACCCCACTGTTTCCAGAAGTCCATGTCTTTGTGATGCTTTGAAATAAGCCATATTCAAATGGTGCTTTACAATCCTGGCTCCTGGAGGTCTCTCCTTCATAGGGTCACTATCGCACAATGTTAACATGATGGCAAATGACAACAACAACAACAATATTACCAACCTTCAGGAGTTTATCCAAAACCTTAGAAATATACTCTTTTATTAATAGTAGTAATACTAATTCTTTGCAATGATAGTTTTGGCCCCAATTGTTAAATGTGCAATGAGAAACTTCTGTATATCTTGCACCCTGCCAATCAATAAACTAAGCAAAACAACAGTTGGAGTCAAAGGCAAACTGTGCTTCATACATTCTTTTAAACTCTTATACAGATGGAAACTCCCCTATCTGTTTTTTAAAACCAACCAACCTCATTCTCACTTCTTGAATAAGTGTGTGATTGTGTGTGTGCGAATACAGGCATCTTTTAGATTACACATGTTTCCAAATCCTACAGTACAAATCCTGTAGTTTGGGTCTTGTCTCAAGCTACAACACTGCAAACTTTTAGATGTGTATTTTAGGATTAAAAAAAAATCATTTGGTGATAAAACGGGCACAAAATGCACATTTTAGGATAAATCCGTGCAAAATACATTATTTAGGCTAGAAAAAAGCAGTCAGAATGCATATTTAACAACGTATTTAATTTAGAAATTTCAGGCAGGCTTTTAAATTAAAAAGGTACAAAGTCAAGTGGAAACAGGACAGGATGGACTCATGAATCAACACAAAAAGTACTGACAGTTGTTCTTGTGTGCCTTCAAGTCATTTCTGACTTATGGCAACCCTAAGGTGAACCTACCATGGGGTTTTCTTGGCTCTCTGAGGCTGAGAGAGTGTGACTGGCCCAAGGTCACCCAGTGGGTTTCCATGGCTGAGCAGGGATTCAAACCTTGGTCTCCTAGTGTTCTAGTCCAACAATGAAACCACTTACACCAAATACAGACTATAATTCAAGTTGGAGGCAGAAAAAGGAATCTGGAATAAAATCTTTGTACTACAGAAACTTCTCCAGAGCTCCTATTTATATTATTATCACAGCTCTGTAAGAAATCTTTTTAAGATTTGGGTGGTTGCTGGAAAGGAGAGGTCTTTGGATCGCTTTCTGTCTTTTGTACATCTTAATGAGATGCTTTGTTGTTGTGTTGTATACCTTCAAGTTGTTTCCAACTTCCCTTAGACAAAATTATCATGGAGTTTTCTTGGCAAGTTTCTTCGGGGGATGGGGGTGGGGTGGGGTGTTGCCATTGCCATCCTCTGAGGCTGAGAGAGTGTGACTTGCTCAAGGTCACCCAGTGGGTTTATATAGCTGAATCGGCATTCGAATCCCAGTCTCCAGAGTCCTAGTCCAACACTCAAACCACTACGCCATGCTGACTCTCTCACTATACATAAAGCATTTCCAAACATGTGAAAAGGATCCCAAAAGCACCCCAGAAACATGTATAGTCAACCCTCCCCATTCACAGACTTTGAGTCCACGGTCTTGGTCCTTCGCAGACCAGCAAGCGGGGAGGGATAAAACGGTGCACGTGCACATGGCGCATGCGCAGGGCCGCATGCAAGAGCGCACGGCCGTTCAAGCCAATGGGGCTTGAATATTTGCGTTTTTTCATTTTTGCAGGGGGGTTCAGAACAGACCCCCTACAAAAACAGAGAGGTGACTGTATCACGTCCAATGCCTCCATTTCCTTCTGCAATCCTTCTCAAAATGGAAGCAGGAAGTGATATGGTGTTGCCATTTTGAGAAGGACTGCAGAGGAAAACAGAGGCATTGAGGTTTGCTGAGTGGTGGTGAAATGCAACCCATAGGAGGGTCTGGGGAAAACAAATGGTTCTTTGTAGTTGCCCATCCTTGTACTAGCCAGTCCACCTGCAGAAGAAGGTGCCGCCTGTGCCATGGCATCCTCCAGAGTGCCGCAATGGTTGCCGCCATGAGCAGAAGAGGGTTAGTAATTTTTCTGAGTCATGCCCACGTCGTGCCCAGTGATTCATGCTGTTGTGATGGTTTGAAGCAGAAGGTGCTTCCCGGCGAAGGGAAAGACCAGCACAAAAGCAAGGATTGGATCTTTGCGCTTGGCTAAGTCTCTGCAGCGGCAAAGGCAGCTAGGAACGGTAGCAATCGAGGTCAAGGTGAGCTATCGGAAGCTCTGGAGCGCTCAGAAGTGAGAGACGCACCTTTGCCCTTGCTGCCAGCTGCAACCTTTTATGCGCATTTTCAGTCTTTTATTGCAGTCCCTTCCAACAATCGCTTTCGCTCAAAAGCCAAGGAGCAGAGCATAAATGTCAGAAACATAAACTGAAAATTCATTTTGAGAAAGCGATAGACAGAGAGATAGGAGATAGACTCCAATGTCATTGAGGCTGTGGATCTAATCTGAGTTTTAGTGAACTTTGAAGGGACTAAGAAACTTCTATTGGCCCAAAGTGTTGCAATATGGTTGTTAACTGGGGATGGCTACTGGGAACACACAATTCCCTTGTTGCAACAGCTTCATTGGTTGCAGAGTGGTATGGAATGGCACTATTGCTTCCCTTGATCTAGGCACCATACTCCTAGAATTGCATTGGGCTTTTTACCTGCTGCATCACATTCTTGGCTCATGTTTAGCTTGTGGTCTACTAAGATTGCTAGATCCCTTTCACATGTACTGTAGTCAAGCCAAGGGTCACCCATGCTATATCTATGCATTTTATTTTTCTCTCTCTCTAAGTGTGGCACCTTACACTTCTTATAAAATGAATGGCACAATAGGAGCCAAGCTGTGCAAATAAGTGCAGGCTCACTGAAGATGTCCCTTGCCTCAAGCATCCCTGACTTGAAGGATGGCCAGGGGAGTGTGACAGCTCCATTCTCAAACTGGGCGCAAGCAATCCTCTCTGGACTTTAGTTGGAAGCCTTAAACAGCTTTCTGAAGTACTGCATCTCATGCTCAAAGTTGGTTTAGCAACCCTAGAACCAGGTCGCCATAACTCAGGGTCAACTTGAGACACATCACAACCACAATCACAGATACACACATACATTTGCACAGTGGCGTCTGGTGTCTTCCATGTCATTGGGCCAATACATTTCTTTAGGATACTAGTCCCAACATTAAAAGATCTCTCCAAGGTAGTGAAGCTATTTTGCACTGAGAAACATGGATAGCACCTTCTAAGTTTTGATTACATCCCACAATGGATTCATCACCCCCTTGACCTGGGCATGGCCAATCTCTCTGTCCTTGGGACACCTGCAGCTTAGGTGAGCATCTATTCATTGGATGGCACAGTTGTCACCTAAAATCACCTCACTTCAGATCCTGGAGCAGAACATTGGACCAAGGGCAGTGACATGTCCCATCTCAGATGAATGGTGAACTTGCCGTAGGCTTTGGCCCAATCTTCAAAGTAGCTCTGAATTCCAATTTTCAGGCATTTGAAATTAAAAAGGTACAAAGTCATGTGGAAACAGGATGGAATGGACTCATGAATGAGCACATATAGGACTGACATGCGCCTGAGGAAGTAGACTTAAGTCTACAAAAGCTTATGCTGCCAGATTCTTCCTTTCAGTCTCAATGGTGCTACAAGAACCCTTTGCATGCTGATATTCTGGACTAACATGGCTATAGCTTTAAATACGACTGACACAATTGTTGCTATGACCCTTCAAGTTGTTTCCAACTTATGTTGAGCCTAAGTGGTTTTCTGGGGCTGAGAGTATGGGACTCACCCAAGGTGGGTTTCCATGGCCAGGCGAGGAATCGAACCCTGATCCCCATAATCGTAGTCCAGTGCTCAAACAACTACACCGTTCTCTCTATCTTCCCAAAATTGGTTCAGAGTGTTGGATAATTCCTTTGAATTTCTGGCTAGATCCTGGAGTGGATTCGCTGCCCTCTGATATGAGAGCCATTGGTTCCCTCTAGGGCAGTCTCCAGCAGCAATGACCTTTCCTGGGCTGAAGAAGAGGGGCAGAATTGCCTTATGGTTACGGAAAGGTGAAGGACAAATTGTGGGGACTCGACTGTCACAGGAGGAAGTGAAGTGACCCAGATGAGGCACATAAGCAGCTCCAGTGGAATGGAAAAATGCAAGGGAAGCAGAAATGCTTGCTCTGCCCTCCTGGCGTTCACTTGGCATCCTTCTAAAGTTAGCTCCTTGCTGGAGCAAGGGAGTCTTACTTTGGTTTGTTCCTTGTTTGTTCCAAAATAATGCAAAACCCAGCTGCGTACAGAGCCTGCTTTTAACTAACAATCCTCATTAGCCCTTGGCGCTCAGAAGCAAAGAAGAAGCAATTAGCATCCCTGTCTATTATTCCCGGTCGCCTTTCAAAAATGCATATTCGCATTTTTGTCCCTTTTCCTCATCCACCCAGAACTTGGCAATTTATTATGATGGCTGGGTCTCAAAGTTTTATGAACCATCCCTCTATTGCTAGGGCCTTGCGTCTGGAATTTAACATATATTCATCTTGGCAGTGGGAATCGTGCAGAACAAAAGGTTGTCCTATCTCTCGGCTTACGGTGCCTGCCAAATAAGTCAATAAGTGAATTATCTAGGGTCATCCAGAAAATTAACTCTAGCAAAGAGAGAATCGAGAGTCATCAGAGAGTTTAATAACACATAAGAGCACTCTAGTGTTCCAACTCTGGGCAGCCATATGTCCCAGGAAAGGCCAAAGGTAGGACAGGAAAACAATGGTCCTCTCCTACTAGCGGCCCTTGTTGACCGATACACTGCTTCTAGATATGGAGGTTCCATTTAGTTTACATGGACTGTCACCCTCTGTGACCATTTGAATATCATGTCTTCTAGCATGTCAATTCCATGCTTGGGTTCCATGATTCGAAACAGTTATTCACTGAAAGAAAGAGCCAGCATGATGTAGTGGTTTCAGTGTTGGACTATGACTCTGGAGACCAGAGTTTAAATCCTGACTTGGCCATGTAAACCCTCTGATATCCCTCTGAGCAAGTCACACTCTCTCAGCCTCATGCTTACCACAAGCTCCATAGAAACAACTTTGGCACAGATGTGCAATGAAGCCATGTTGCAAATGCATGGGCTTCTTTGCAGCCTTTCTGTGAGATCAAGCCAGGCTGGCCTGTTCTTTGCTAAGGATGCAACTCTTTGCTAATTTTGTTCTTTTGTGTCAGGAACAAGTCATTTAAGCAATGTTCTTCCCGTTGTAAGAAAGCCTTTGAAAAATGGTGCAGTTTTCAGTTCTCCCCTGTTGCCTCTGTAGTTTCAAAGACTATTCGCAATTTAGGAGTTGTTTTGTGCAAAAATTCGCATATGGTGATTTGTTTGTTTTTTGCACAGAAAACATAATTTTCTGTGCAGAAAACAGCCCTTTCTACACACAATATTTTTTCTGAGCAGAAAATGCTCTTTTCTCCACACACAAAAACCATAGGTGGCTTTTGCACAGAGTAAATTCCCAACTGTGCCCTTTCCTATGCAGGAAACATCCTTTTCTGCACAGAAATGTATTATGGACAGAAAATGCCATTTTCTGCATAGAAAATGCAGTATTTTTTTATTTTAAAAAATGCCACATGTCTATTTTGAATAAAGCTGCATCTACACTGCAAAATTAATGCAGTTTGACACCACTTCTTCTTATTTTTAAACTGCCGTGGCTCAGTGCTATTGAATCCAGGGATTTGTAGCTTTGTGAGATATTTCACTGCCTCCGTCAGCAAATTCTGGCACCACAACAAACTACAAATCCCAGGATTTTATAGAATGGAGTATCAAACTGCATCAGTTCTGCCATGTAGATGCAGCCTAGATCTCAAAGCGCAGCGATTCTTTTCATTCTAGGATGTTTTTCATAAGAGTTTCCAAAAATTCAAGAAACACTTTTTAAAACCATTTCCCCCCAAATATGTTTGCATAATATTTCCATTCCTATCCTTTGTCAGCTTTCCCATTCATGCAAGGATATGTCTTACTTATATGTGCCCCACTGTTTCATTTCCTTTAATGTGAAAACAAATTTCTGGTCATTTTGCTAACTATTGTCACCACGAGGGGGAGTATTACAATGCTACATTCAGTGGTTTCCAAACTTTGCTCCTCCAGATGTTTTGGACTCCATCTCCCAGAATTCCTGACTGTGGGCCAGGTCAACTGGGACATCTGGGAGCTGTAGTCCAAAAGTCCAAAACACTTGGAGGACCATATTTGAGAAATCGCTGCTTTCACTGCTTCTTATATTTATTCTCTTTCCCAGGACATCCTGGGAATTTTAATTTTGTGGGAAAGGGGTATTTAGGGAGTAAGGACAAAATATAACTTATTCAAGTTTAAAATCCCTGACATCTTTTCTGGAACTGGGGCGACGCCATGATGTGCAGAGGGGCACTAAGATGCATATTTAAAGTG